AGAATAGAGAAGTTTGAATGGGTGTGGAGGAGTGTTATTTTTCTCTACCACAGACGTGGCCACACATTTACAGTGGTAACCAGCATATATTCAATTTATTCTGTCCTCAATGGACAGGGATAGAGCTGTTAAACATGTAGTTCAGTGATTTGTTGATCAACTAACCACAGGTGATTGTAGTGCTTCTTAAATGCTACTAAAACACTACATAAACAGTGCCCGAGGCATCTTTTACAGTGTTATTAATGTGCGTTTACAAAGATTAAATGGAGGGAAAGGTGTGACCAGAGAGGTGGCAGACCTCCTGCTCTTGTGCACATCTTGCCTCTGTTTACTGTAAACAAGACGCATGAAGACCGCTGGCACTGTATGTCAACCCTTTTCCAAAGGTGCTCAGCAGGAAGCTACCAGTAATAAACAGGAGCCTGAGCAAAGGTGTTGTACAGGAAGTCTTATTTCTTCATGTTCTATTCAACCCGAAAATACTTGTCTGACATTTTTAATTGTCATCTTCTGTACTCTTCTGCCCTTCGAGGCCTCAAACTCGTATTTGAAGTACAAGTTATTTGACGTTACTAAACGGCTCGAATATGCAACATTGGAATGATTATGTAAAGGTTTGAGATGGTAAATGTTAATGGTTACTGTAATGTGCACGACTGCAGCTTACTACACTACTGCATCAACACGCTGGACACTTGCTAGTGTCTTGTTACTACACTAGTGTCGTGCGTGTTGATGCAGTAGTGTCCCGGCACTCAGCAGAGGCGGAGACGCGCCCAGCCTCTGCTCCACCCGGAGGACCAGTGTAGTTCACGCTCAACTACCCGTTCGTGGCTGAACTGTAGCCTATAACCACTGGTTTATTGACGGTGGGGACTACCGCAGATGGTACACACTGCTGCTGAGCTCAAGCTCCCGGGTACCAGTCATAACACATTCACGCCCATCTTACCTTGTGATGCTTCGCAGGATCAACGTCCCCGCGGCCCGGTCTCTGACTAAGTATTCTGGTCAACCAAACCGTTAGGAGGAAGTAAAAAAAAAAAGTAGTAGTAACCACGTAGGTAACCAAGAGTAGTCGACCTAGATCTTTATTAGGCCTGGTCGACGACCGGGCCGCGGGGACGCTTAAGCCCCGAAATCATCAAGGTAAGGTGATTACTCCACATACGTTGCTTTTTAGTTCTGAATTGTGATTTGACAGTTTAGTCAAATCACTTTAGTCAACCAAATTGGGGTTGGTTGTCGTTTATCAAGATATTTTCATATAAAAAAAAAAGAAAGACCAAAATGAAAGACCTGATTAACCTGTTTACAGGCGTCTTCTATATTGTCTACTCAAAAATTCAGGTGTTGCCTGGCAAAGACTATACGAAGTTATTTTCTACATACACGATACTAAGAGGAAGTACTGGAGTATATTGAGGGTCAGAGCTTTTCCAGGTGGATGGCCCAAATGTGACGTTCATTCCTGTTTTAGAAATTAAAAATCCACCATCCTACATTGCCAGCAATGTACTTAGTCGCTTGAAAGTTTTCCCAAAAACTTTCAACATTTATGTAATGTTTTGCTTGTCTTCTATGTCAAGTAAGGCCACGTCATAGTGGTGGTGTAGCAGTTTTGACAGGCAGGAGGGGCCTTCTGTTTCCAGGAGGAGGCCCTCATCCCCCGTCCAAAAATATGTTTTAATGAACCAATGACAATTAAAACGGTACCAAAGTGTAGTATTGCAAACATCTGCATTTAAAGCTGAAGCTGGTTACCTAGAGAACTTGACAATTTTTACCGTCAGAATCGGCAGGTAGTGGTTCCTGACGTACTCAAATACTGCATTAGGATACCAGGAGGCACGGCATAATGTGTAAAAATAGGCCCTTTGTGAGTAGGGTGCAATATTGGTATTTAATATGCTATAAACAAAGTTGCCGAGACTTCATCACCCTTGCTCTAAACATAAGGGGCCAACCAGTCAGTGTTTACGAGGAGCTTCATAAACACCTCCAAAGGTGCACTTGACCAACCAGGCTGCTATATCTATACATGGACCAGGGTGTAGCGACCTCTAGCCGCCTGGTTGACCAGACCAACCAGGAAGCCTTAGCAAAGACTGGGCTGAGGGGGACATTGATCTTCTGAACAGCTGGAAGCATCTTTTGTAACATCACGGACGTGCCGCCGCCACCACCTCACGCTACAACCCAGCAGTACAAACATGGCTTCACCTCGACGCTGTGGCGGCATGTTATGAGAACGCTTATGTTCGGTATCTCCGGCTTGTTTCTGCCAGTCTTGAATGTTGAATATACTCTTAAATTAGTAAGACTGTCGATGATGCCATTACTTTTATGCCACCCAATTAAGCTGAAAAGGCTCTGTCCCAAATTACGATTGCCAACCACCACCCAGGTTGCCAGGGAAGATTGACTAGGTGCCAGTCCTTAACAGCACGCCTCTGTACCCAGCAGTGAATGGGTACCTAATTGAATACCACCGCCAACGCCTGGCGGGTCCTATTCCAGATAATCTTGAGGGTAAGACTTGCTTCCAGCTTGGGAAGGGAAAGCTCTCTGCCTGTTGTACTAACCTGGGGGGGGGAGGTAGAGCAAGAGGCCATTTATGAAATAGAACAGTATTTTCAATTCCTCTATGTAAACTAACAAAAACTAGATATGGCATTAGTACACAACACAGTGGAGGTCACGCCAGTCCAGGAGGAGGTAATAAAGCAGACAAAAATAATTGACCAACAACTATCACAATCCTGTAAAGTGTCATGAAGTGCTCACAACGCACAGACTCAGTGTCAACATAATCCTAGACAACACGGGGTTTAGAACTGGGTATGCCTGCCAACCTCAAATGTTTAGCCACTGACAATGCCTTGGCTGTCATGGAAGATAAGCAAATGTACAAATTTCTTTAATGCTTTCGACAAATGTGACCATGGCGCTAGTGCGCACAAAAGATATTACTGACCAAGTGGGAAGATGGATCTTTACTTTCCTAAACAGAACTCTGGTAATAGGCACCAAAGTAAACTCGATCATCCATCGCGAAAAACTCGGTCCCCAGGTACTGTACTTGCTCCAGTACTTTGTATCCTTCTCCGATGTGGTAATGAGAATCTATAGTACCCATCATGCTGAGCACATGACACTAGGGATTTCATGAGACCATATAGATGACGGCAACCCTCCAAACTGGTGTTAATCATGTCTTTCAATAGCCCACAGAAAATAACATGTTTAACGAGTGTTACGACCGTGGGAAGGAAGTTAGGTTAACATTTAAGAGAATGGTATGGTATTAAGTTCCCAGGCGGCCGGGCCTTGCTTAACTCAGCTGGGGGGGGGGGGTGTTAAACGATGTTTATAATGATTTAAATTCATGTTACATTTGACCCATTGTCCACATTTATATATTTTAGTCATTGTTATGGCGACAAAGTTCCAGCTACTGTGCTACGGTAAAGGAAACTACATACAACAGTCAAATCACACTACTGAAAGAATACCAAAAGTTTCGGGTGTAATGAGGTGGGAAGACGTTACCTTTAAAGCACACACAGTAGCTGTCCCAACTGCAAGAATAATGACAGTTTTATCACTAGAACCTTTCAAACTAAATTTGCTAGACTAATGATTATGCTTTAAGACACTTGTGCCCTCTAGGGTACCTGGCCTGATGGGGTTCCAGTAGTAGTTCTCCTCCCCAAGCCTGGCCTGAGGCTCGACTTGAGAGCTTGGTCCACCAGGCTGTTGCTTGGAGCGGTCCGCAGGCCCACATACCCACCACAGCCCGGCACTGCTTGAAGATGACTGACTAGTACAACAGTATTCCACCGTGTCCAGGGTGGAACACTCTTACACACTAACAGCCTCATCCAAAGCTGGGAAATTGTTGACCTATGGACATGCAGTTTTGTACTGCCAGAAGTTATTGGGAGTCTTAATTTTAAAACTATTCTCTAGAGCGCCGGCGGGAGATGTATGTTGCAACCCGTTCTCGCAAATTCGTAAAGTCAATATTGACTTATTAACTACGTGCATAGGTGATATACTAAACATAATAGATACCCTTAAAAAGATTCATAGAAAACACCGACCTTACCTAACCTTGTTAATATCTTAAGATAAGCATCTTATTGCTTCGTAATTACAATTATTACTTAACCTATACCTATTATAGGTTAGGTAATAATTGCAATTACGAAGCAATAAGATGCTTATCTTAAGATACTAACAAGGTTAGGTAAGGTCGGTGTTTTCTATGAATCTTTTTAAGGGTATCTATTATGTTAAGTATGTCACCTATGCACATATTTAATAAGTCAATATTGACTTATTAAATTTGCGAGAACGGGTTGGTATATTTACATAGATATACACTAACTATAACTTTAGAACACTTTCCCATCAGGAGACTCGAACCCTAGCTAGCACAGAAGCCTTACAGCAACTGGCATATCAGGTATGCCTTACCCACTACACTAAACTCAGACCCTTAAAAGAGATGGTAATTTCGGGGTATTAACAGGGACTTTATGAAAGAACGTGAGTGACCTCTCACTAGCTCTAGTTGCCCTTGGGAGGTGGTGGTTTTGGGGGGTTTAAATACCCCGAAATTACCATATTTTAAAGGTCCGAGTTTGGTGTAGTGGGTTAAAGGCATACCTGCTATGCCAGTTGCTGTAAGGCTTCTGTGCTGGCTAGGGTTCGAGTCTCCTGATGGGAAAGTTCTAAAGTTGTAAAACTTCACTTGCATGTTTCAGGCAAGTTAGTGCATTAACTATGTACATAACGTAAACTCTTCATTTACATTATTAATTCGATGCACGATACAATTAAATCGATACACGATTAATGTACATACAAGACACTCTCGGTAAGTGTAAAATAGCCCCGTTGAAAAACAGAGTTGCAATAACTATGTCGAGGGAATTGTGTCAACGTGAAGGCCTCGTGACCAACGGTCCCCCACTGTCATCGTGTACCACATGACTGACCCACCTGTCATCGTGTACCACATGACTGACCCACCTGTCATCGTGTACCACATGACTGACCCACCTGTCATCGTGTACCACATGACTGACCCACCTGTCATCGTGTACCACATGACTGACCCACCTGTCATCGTGTACCACATGACTGACCCACCTGTCATCGTGTACCACATGACTGACCCACCTGTCATCGTGTACCACATGACTGACCCACCTGTCATCGTGTACCACATGACTGACCCACCTGTCATCGTGTACCACATGACTGACCCACCTGTCATCGTGTACCACATGACTGACCCACCTGTCATCGTGTACCACATGACTGACCCACCTGTCATCGTGTACCACATGACTGACCCACCTGTCATCGTGTACCACATGACTGACCCACCTGTCATCGTGTACCACATGACTGACCCACCTGTCATCGTGTACCACATGACTGACCCACCTGTCATCGTGTACCACATGACTGACCCACCTGTCATCGTGTACCACATGACTGACCCACCTGTCATCGTGTACCACATGACTGACCCACCTGTCATCGTGTACCACATGACTGACCCACCTGTCATCGTGTACCACATGACTGACCCACCTGTCATCGTGTACCACATGACTGACCCACCTGTCATCGTGTACCACATGACTGACCCACCTGTCATCGTGTACCACATGACTGACCCACCTGTCATCGTGTACCACATGACTGACCCACCTGTCATCGTGTACCACATGACTGACCCACCTGTCATCGTGTACCACATGACTGACCCACCTGTCATCGTGTACCACATGACTGACCCACCTGTCATCGTGTACCACATGACTGACCCACCTGTCATCGTGTACCACATGACTGACCCACCTGTCATCGTGTACCACATGACTGACCCACCTGTCATCGTGTACCACATGACTGACCCACCTGTCATCGTGTACCACATGACTGACCCACCTGTCATCGTGTACCACATGACTGACCCACCTGTCGTGTACCACATGACTGACCCACCTGTCATCGTGTACCACATGACTGACCCACCTGTCATCGTGTACCACATGACTGACCCACCTGTCATCGTGTACCACATGACTGACCCACCTGTCATCGTGTACCACATGACTGACCCACCTGTCATCGTGTACCACATGACTGACCCACCTGTCATCGTGTACCACATGACTGACCCACCTGTCATCGTGTACCACATGACTGACCCACCTGTCATCGTGTACCACATGACTGACCCACCTGTCATCGTGTACCACATGACTGACCCACCTGTCATCGTGTACCACATGACTGACCCACCTGTCATCGTGTACCACATGACTGACCCACCTGTCATCGTGTACCACATGACTGACCCACCTGTCATCGTGTACCACATGACTGACCCACCTGTCATCGTGTACCACATGACTGACCCACCTGTCATCGTGTACCACATGACTGACCCACCTGTCATCGTGTACCACATGACTGACCCACCTGTCATCGTGTACCACATGACTGACCCACCTGTCATCGTGTACCACATGACTGACCCACCTGTCATCGTGTACCACATGACTGACCCACCTGTCATCGTGTACCACATGACTGACCCACCTGTCATCGTGTACCACATGACTGACCCACCTGTCATCGTGTACCACATGACTGACCCACCTGTCATCGTGTACCACATGACTGACCCACCTGTCATCGTGTACCACATGACTGACCCACCTGTCATCGTGTACCACATGACTGACCCACCTGTCATCGTGTACCACATGACTGACCCACCTGTCATCGTGTACCACATGACTGACCCACCTGTCATCGTGTACCACATGACTGACCCACCTGTCATCGTGTACCACATGACTGACCCACCTGTCATCGTGTACCACATGACTGACCCACCTGTCATCGTGTACCACATGACTGACCCACCTGTCATCGTGTACCACATGACTGACCCACCTGTCATCGTGTACCACATGACTGACCCACCTGTCATCGTGTACCACATGACTGACCCACCTGTCATCGTGTACCACATGACTGACCCACCTGTCATCGTGTACCACATGACTGACCCACCTGTCATCGTGTACCACATGACTGACCCACCTGTCATCGTGTACCACATGACTGACCCACCTGTCATCGTGTACCACATGACTGACCCACCTGTCATCGTGTACCACATGACTGACCCACCTGTCATCGTGTACCACATGACTGACCCACCTGTCATCGTGTACCACATGACTGACCCACCTGTCATCGTGTACCACATGACTGACCCACCTGTCATCGTGTACCACATGACTGACCCACCTGTCATCGTGTACCACATGACTGACCCACCTGTCATCGTGTACCACATGACTGACCCACCTGTCATCGTGTACCACATGACTGACCCACCTGTCATCGTGTACCACATGACTGACCCACCTGTCATCGTGTACCACATGACTGACCCACCTGTCATCGTGTACCACATGACTGACCCACCTGTCATCGTGTACCACATGACTGACCCACCTGTCATCGTGTACCACATGACTGACCCACCTGTCATCGTGTACCACATGACTGACCCACCTGTCATCGTGTACCACATGACTGACCCACCTGTCATCGTGTACCACATGACTGACCCACCTGTCATCGTGTACCACACAACTTGTATAAACACCGCTAAAAAGGGTACCTGACCAGCCAGGCCCGAGGTCAATTTATGAGCCGCTGCATCTAGTTGCCTGGTTGACTACGAGACCTGGTCAAAGATCGGGCCGCCGGGATATTGATCCCTGGCACCAAGAAGAGGTAGACAAGTGGTAGAATTTTAACACCAGTGAACAAACGCCACTCTCCAATCCCACGAGAGGTCACGAGAGGTCAGGTAAGGTCAGCCACACTGTCAGCCGGCCTTTGTCCAGCATTATCGCAGCCTAGGCCGCCACCACTCATCTTCAAAAGGCACATTACTGCTACCTTCGTGCTCCCTCCTATGTACAGTATTTAATAGTCATAAATGACAATTTACTCTACCGCTGCCCACTGGATGGGGGGCGGTGTGCAGGACAAATATATCAATTGTGACACTATAGCTCTCCACATATGTCAGTTGCTTAATTTAGAACCTGTACTTGAGGTCGATCTCAAACCCATTGTTGATGTGACGATTTGTACTGAATTTTGTAACTAACGCATCAAGATTGTAACTTGCTTAGCTAAATGAATTGTGGGGTTCAGTCCCTGAGCCCATTATGTGCCTCTGTAACCCTTTCCACTACCGCCCACAGGATGGGTATGGGGTGCATAATAAATGAACTAAACTGAAGCTGACAAGGCAGGGACCTATCTTTTTTTCCAGAAATTTAGACAATTATTTATTACAGTACACACGCCGCCATGGATTACCAGAGTAAACAAAAAAATTTCGGCCTCTAAATTTTACAGAAAATTTCTATCACGGCTTTAATGCAAAAAAAAAAAAAATGGAAAATCAAGGTGGCAGGTGTATTTACCACTGGTAGAGAGACCCGGGAGCGAGGTGCAAGAGTGTCGCCAGTAGCCACCTTCACACTGTCCTCTTAACGCATTCTTCAAAGACATTACCGTCAGGCGGACAGCAACAGCCTCTCCCTCCCCCCCAACACGCCACGTTGATGTATACCACAACCTGTCTGCGCATCCTGGCCTCAAACTGGTACTGAACCTGCCTGCTCCCCCACCAATCACCTGTGAACACCATGTCCCCCCAGATGCTAGTCCCCCCCCCCCCCCCACCCGGCTACCGCAACAGCTGATTGTAGTCAGGCACCGGAGCCAGATAATGTAATCTGCCAGCACTCCTCCACTGCCCATCCTATTATAACTAAGTTAATGCGGTAACTATACAACTTTTACGGTAGCATCATGTTCACAAGTTGCTACAATCCGATGAGCAGAACATTAACTTTGGCGCCGTTTAGTGCACAAGTGAAAACGTGATTATTGTAGTTCCTTGCAAGTGATGCTGTCATTAGGTTCCTTTGTTACACGGGAGAAGTGCCCGAGGCGGGGGAAGTGAAGCCTGACCGACCGACCTGTGACCAGATACTTCCTCAGTTCCCAGTAGTCATGCGCGGTCCCGCCATCCAATCATTTCTTCGATTTAAAGAACAAGAGCGGGTGACACTGAGTGGTGGACCCGGGTGACACTGAGTGGTGGACCCGGGTGACACTGAGTGGTGGACCCGGGTGACACTGAGTGGTGGACCCGGGTGACACTGAGTGGTGGACCTGGGCCACACGACCACCACCTCTCCCCCCCCCCCCCCCGTCTACAAGAGTGTCACAAGTGGGCGTAACTCACCTTCTCTTGCCCAGCCCCACACGGTCCAGCTCCACATGGTGGTAGGTGGCGTAGGTGGCCATGACTACGTGTGCCGTGGCTGCTGCAACACCCCTGCTGGCTTGCCACAGGTGTACCGGGCCTCACTCCCACACCTGCAGTCTCTCCACCAGGATTTTCAGGGTCAGTGTTTGTATAGTGGAAGTTGGTAAGGTTGGTGGTGGTCTCGCCGCGGCGCCAGGCCGGCTCCCGGCACACAGGGATACGTAGCACAAAGGTCCTCTTCACCTTTACTGCTGTCTAATGTCTTGTGAACTTTTGTTTCACTCTGCTATGGCACTGGGAACAGCAGACAGTCAAGCGTCACCAATATCACTGACGGGAGAGTACTCCGAGCGGGTCGTGCACGGTTAATACTCGATATACTTCTCAGGTTGTTAAATTTACAGGTGCATTAGAACAAGGTTGGCAGGAAGCACGTGGTGTCACTCCTCGCTCCTCCTCTCACGGCCTCACCAGCTGGTCTGAACACCAACCTCCCACGCTCCCAGCTTTTATGCTCCACCCCCCCCCACACCCCCCTACTCAGAACCTACTCTTCCCATCCCCACCTATTTGGGTCCACCTACACTAGTTTCCCCCAGTGCACCACATTAACCACACACCACCACTAGTAACGCGCCTAGTACCTTAGTAACTATAAATACAACTATATCAAAGTACTTATAATCACCACTTTACATTAATAGTAAGAGAATACAAATTTTACACCACTTTTGCCGGCGGAAAGGTACTACAGAAAGGCAGGGCAAATCACCACCCAGACTGAACCCCCCCCCCCCTCAAAGTGAAGCAGCCAGAAACGGACTGAAAACAGGGACAAAAACGTGGGGGCAAAGAATGAAAGGGCAAGCCCTGGGGGTTATCACGCCAGACCTGTTCCCCTGGAGCTCTCATCAAGAAGATGACATCAGCGGCATATGCCAGGTTGGCCAACGTAAGAACGGCCTTTAGAAAACTTGTGTAAGTAATCTTTCAGAACTTTGTATACTACATATGTCACACCAATCCTGGAGTATGCAAAGGTTTGCCACCAGACTAGTACCCGAACTGAGAGGTATGAGCTACGAGGAGAGACTACCGGAATTAAACCTCACGTCGCTGGAAGACCAGAGTTAAAGGTGACATGATCACCACATACAAGATCAAGGGAACTAATAGGGTAGATAAAGAGACTAACAAGGGATACACGCACCAGGGGACACAAAGGAAATTGAGAACACTGATCTCACCCTGTCATCTATTATATATATTATATATTTATATATTTATATATATTTTTCAGAACCTAGAAGGGGTACCACCTCTGGTGTAAGTTTAATATATTATAATTTAATTTTTAACTTATCCTTTCACATCAATACAAGGATACAACAAGTGTTCCTATTACCAATGTTCATACATTGTGATTTTAAGCTTTAGCGTTAAAAAAAAAAAAAGTGTTTCCCTAAGCAGCAGTGAAATAAAGGCGGGCCGCCCAGCACGTGGGCACCAAGTGGAGGTTAAGAGGGAGGGGGGGGGAGGAGGGTGCAAGTGAAGTCTCTGACAAACTTGCTCGACCTAGTATTCTCAACTAACACCCCCCCCCCCCTTCCCTTACCTCTCTAGGAGGAGGACCCAAGTAGTCATCACAGGAGTACTAGTAGTAGTAGTCATCACAGGAGTACTAGTAGTAGTAGTCATCACAAGAGAAGTGACAGGGAAACCCGCACAGTGGCCACAGCTGCACTATATACATTATGCACCACCACTCCCGCCGACCTTTAACGCTCAACTCAATTTCCCCAAAAGCATCGATTTTCTTAAAGGTCCGTGTGCACTTAACCCCCCCCCCCTTACTCTAATATATGAACACTCAGCAGGGAGTGTGGTGGGAGGTTGTGGCGTAAGTGGGAGTCCAACCCGCGCTGGTGTACTGGCAGGACGACGACACCAAGATGACATGCCCCCTTTAAGACTTCCCGCCCCTTCCTCCCCCACACAGGAGCCCCATATCCTGCAGGAGCCTCGCCCCCCCTGCCCTCACTAGCGTGATCATCATCCGGTCCCGCACCCTGGTCGTAGGACTAGACAAGAGGGGGGGGGGGCCATGGTGAAGGAAGCGCAGAGCGTCACCGCCGCCCTGCGCAGAGTCCTGCAGTGAACTACGGCAAGCGTGCGAGAGGACTCCCAGCATCAGCTTTAACTATGTTTATGTGGAGGAGGAGGGAGGGACCCTTTCCCCCCCCCCACAGCTTCAGCACACCTCCCCACTCTACCCAAACTCACCTCGGCTTTATCTCTGCTGTTACAACTATTAATGACCCAGAAATAAACTACGCACCACACACACCAGCCTCTCGACAGGGAAACAAGGAGACAATTGCCACCAACAATGATTTGACATATGGAGGGTGGCAGACAACTTGGGATATACAGAGTACACTATGATGGGTGTACCATGCACAGCGTCGAGCAGTGGTACCGTGCACACCGCCGAGCAGTGGTACCATGCACACCGCCGAGCAGTGGTACCATCCTAGCCACAAGTCTAACGCTAGTTCGGCCAGGTTCGAGCCCTGGGCAGTGATCCTTAACAGTTCGCAGCTGTTCAGCCAGCAGGCATCTAGCCCCTGGTAGTTAGTACCTGGATGGGGTTCTGGTAGTTCTTTGATTCCCCTTCTTGCAGAAAAGACCAGTTTTTTTTCTTTAAAATTTCCACCATTATGCAGTTCCACGCCGTTCGCGCCAGTATATTTCCCTGTGTAAATTTGGGACCTGGCCTTCCAGCATTTACCAAGAATATATTATATGAAGACATTTCAGAGCCTTGAAACAAGAGCCTGGCCTCAGGCCGGGGAGTAGAACTCCCGAAACTCCCGCCCCAGGTATGCTCTACTTAATTCGTGCCGTACATGTTCTCTATATTCCCTCCACTTGAACGCACTCTCCTGCTCTGAAGGGGAAATTATCTAGCAGTATTCATGGTGGGACACGACTAGTGATTGACCAGTACGACCATTGTCCCAGTGACAATAGTAGAGGGGCTGTTACCAGACCTGCACACAGAAATACCACCACACGAGACCAGGAGGCATGGCAGGATGTGCAGAATACCCCCGTTGAAGAGCAGAGGTGCAACAGGTACTCAGAGAGAACTCTATCAACATCAGAGGCCCGAGACTGTTCAACACGCTTCCACTACACATAAGGGGCATAACTGGCCGACCCCTCACAGTGTTCAAGAAAACTTGACAAACGCCTCCAAAGGATACCTGATCAACCAGGCTGTGACTGTGTGCAGGACGCTGCTGCTCGCAGTCTGATGTATAACAG